TTCATAGGAAATAATAAAAAAAAAATCAAATCAATGTAAATCAAAACGATGTAATCGTTATTTCAGTATTCATTCACAATCACTGTTTATGAGAAAATACATTATCATAACTTCAAAAGTCAATAGCACACTTAACAAAAGGTGAGAACTCTTTTCAAATTGTAGATACCAACGGAAAATTCTTGCTCAAACATGTATGACCGTTCACTTGCATACACATTTAACTGCCTATATATTATAACCACTTGATTTTATACATGCTTCTATTGGTCTGATAATCGCATTGGCGTTAAAACAGTGGTAGCAATAGTAAAACCATGGAACAGTGAAAACCATATAGCATTTGTTTTTGTTTACATTACAATGTAGCAAAACCTAATTTGAATAGTTTTTAATACGCATTTGTATTAAGAGTAATTTGAAATTTACAACAAAAATATATGACGGAGAATAGGAAAAAATGAGAGATTTTAACAATTTTAACAATATTAAGAGAAGAATATACAACTCTTATTTATTATTTGTTGTTATTATTCAGATATCAAGAGGTAGTGCATTTTATTACGTTGGGTCGAGATTGCTGTTAATCTGAATTTGCAAATTAAAACTATGTGTTCTGGTTGGTACCAGGATCTAATAGTGTTCTAGCCTGCAAACTTTAATTTCATACGTGCTTAACCTGTCGTATCATATCATATCAACGTATCGTATCGGGTTTGACTAAAAAACCCTCTTCATGATGAAGAGCGGTTTTTGCTATAAATGCAAGCGCTGCAGCGCTTATACAATTTTTTTAGTCTTCAGCGCGGCGCTTATTCGAGAGCAGCACTTAATTGAGAGCGGTGCATATAAAAAAAAAATATTGGAGTGGCACTTTCCATGCCTGTTCCCATTGATGTTACCTATCCCAAATATTTCCGTAGTTCGGTTGGCCTATCATAGGTCCTACGACATCGTAAATAAACGTTTATAAAGAAGTGCTTGTGTCTTCATTATGTTATTTATTCATTTTAACATTCGAGAGTGGCGCTTGGCTGAAAAAAGATCACTTTTGGCGCTTTCGAACATTTACGGTACCCAAATGCATTAAAAAAATGTTTACATTTTAGTTTTTAAAGGCAAAATTACAACAAAATAATAACTATTGTAATTGTTTGAGAATTTGCGGTACTGTAAATTGAATGAGTATAATTTGCCAGGTAGTAAAATCTCTGTTATTTTCACAGAGTTGGTGACTAAAGGGCTTAAGGTCGCACAGAGTTCTTTTGGATGGGGCGGTATCCCAGTGAGAGCAATTGATGGTAACATTGCTGCCAACTACAACCAACAAAGCTGTACACACACACGTAAGTGCACACACACGTTTCAAGCAATGCTTTGAGAGGAACATGTGCCTATGATAAAGTTACAAGTAGATAAAGCTTTAATTTTACAAAAATTAACAATAACATTAACAATTGATGATAACAATAACAACTGTAATAATAATAATAATAAAAATAATAATATTAATAATATTATTATAATAATAATAATAATTATTATTATTAATTTTATTATTATTATTATTATTTAGCTATTGATTAATAATAATATTATTATTATTAATATTGTTATTATTTTTATTATTATTCTATTAATATTCATTTTGCTTCATTAATTTCTTTATTTGATAAATTCAATCAAACTTGTATTGTTTTCATTGTTGGTCTTTTTGTGTAATGAATTGTTAACTGTAAATTTGATGCAATTCAGCTTTATGCTACCTATCGTAAAATTGAAAATGAAAAAAAAAATGAAAATTATTAATCATACTAATAATATTACTAGAATAATAGTAATAAGCCTAATAGAGGTGATATTGATTCTTTCTAACATCTAGTGCGACAACCTGACAATTGGTGGAGAGTGGATCTAGGAAAATCCTACAAGGTTAATAAAGTAAAAATTTACAATCGAGCAGGTATGTGAACACGAACACATAGGCCTATAGCAATTTGCTAGAAATAATACCATTGAGGTTCATTGTTAACCTTTGCTACAGATCAAAGCTGGCCCGCTTTGTGTTAAAGTAATGCAAGTATGAAAAGCACACCATATTCTAAAGAGCCCATTGCCACCATACGGCTCATGTGCACGTTAAAGAACGGGTTCAGTCCAGTGGCGGCGCCATAACCATCTCCCCTCCCCCACCGGACAAGTCAGCCCCCTCCCCCATCCTCCCGTCGGACAGAGCTCGTCGTGCAGTCCGACCATGAGAATATAAAAAATAGGCCCACACTATGCCAAAACATGTCTGCCACAGCATCAAAATGCCATATCCGGCCGTCCAGAGGTTCCTATTCTTAGAAAATCTCATTCTGAGGAGGGGAAACCCCTCTCAAACACTTCTCCCAGCTCGGGCCTACGAGCTCAAGTCCCCCGTATCGGACAGTTTAGCTCCTCCCCCCCCCTCAAAAAATATATCCTAGAGCCACCAGATTCAGTCACAACCAGAAGAACCCAACTCTCATTGGTTAACATTTGTGTTCAAACAGAATATATAGAATTCAATTCACATAATTTATGAGAACTTGGACAAAGTACCAAGTTGCAATAAATATTTTTGTATAGATGAAATTATTTATATAAACAAAATGCTTATGTGATAATCGTTAGGTATAGCCTTTAACATTTCCATTCACAACAATGGTACAAATTACAAGATTTTTGGGCAGTATTTATTGACGGACACTGTACATGATTCGACATATTTAAAATGTCTTTAAGATTGCTGCAAGGATCGATTGAATGGCGCCACCGTTCGTGTCGGAGATAACGCTAAAGGTATGCTGACTAATGCCGTATGTGGAGATCCAATAAAAGATGCAGGCTTCAGCTCCGTGATTGATCGAGAGTGTGAACTTAATGGACAATACGTTAGTGTTTCGCTGAAGAACGAATACCTGACGCTTTGTGAGGTCGAGGTTTGGGGAGAAGGTATGGATATATAATTTTTATTATTATTATTATGAATAATGTATGAATGAATGCATGAATGAATGAATGAATGAATGAATGAATAAATGAATGAATGAACGAACGATTGAATGAATTCATCGATTCATGGAACGACAATAAGTATGCAACTACTCATTTA